TTGTATTAATTATTTTAAGTCATTCCAGAATTTTTCTTTTGAACACATATTCAAACATACTTGAGGAGCATAATCATTTATAACATTAATCTTAGTATTGACAATAATTTTTTATGTTATAATTCTATCTCTAATTCTTTTAATTTTTGCAATATTATTTTTCGAACTCTTATCTATAATTATATACACACCATTTATAGTTTGACTCCTACCTGATTACCAAAGTTTAAAAGCTAAGCTATCAATGCTTTTAGCCTTTTCTCCAACCCTTTTAGTTCTTAAATACACAAAATATTTATCTTCATATGAAACATAATATCTATTAATTTCATTAATCTACATGTGAGAGTAATTATATTCCGATGTCCTATCCTAATATTAGTTTCATGGTCCGAATTCTTTGCCTGCATCCGTTTGTAATGTGAGAACTTTTGCTTATATGACACTACACCCGGACGCTGGCATAACAACCCTTACATACTTTTCACAGTATACAGCGCGTCGCTTCTATGGGACCCTGACATTTACATAAAAATTTAAAGTATTTGTGTCATGATTTTTTGACAAAAATTTTATGCTGACTGTCGAGTATCTAATGTAAACATCCAATTTTTACATTCAGAGCTTGAGACTCGACAATGACAGGTTTTTGTGCTTAATTCTAAATAATGTTTAGTATTAATTGTTAATCATATATTTGTATTATTATTATTATGTGGTTATATATGTTATCTTGATTATCTAAATATAATAATGATATTAATTAATTCAAATATATGTTTTATTTGTTTTTTTATTTTTTTTTACTTTCTTAAAGTTGAAATATTATAATGAAAAAAAAAATATTTGCTGTGTAGTACCGACACTTCTAAAAATGTACTATATTCGTCTTGGATATGTATCAGACACCGGCGCTTGTTTGATGCGCTCTGGCACTTCTCTGATACTATAAAATATATGTCTGAATTTTTTTCAGGCGTGAACACTTCCTGGACACATCTCAAGATCGCATCAGACATGAGCTTAACACTGTTTTGAGTAAATGAGATATAAAAACTAGGAAATTATAAATATACATATAGCCTTATTTATGACTCATCGTTGAAACTGCCCTATCTATTGTCATGTTGAAGCTCTCTCCAAAATTCGTTAAAATCGAGCATCGAAGGTACGTCCAATATTTGTTGAAGCCGAGCATTACTAATTCCCTCTTTTGAATCATAAAATTTTTAAAATTTTAGTAGATAAGTTAGATGAACTTTTTGAAATATATTATATCTAATTTTAAAAATTAATTTTCATAAGCATGAGGTTTTATAATATAAATTAAATTATGAAGCTTAATTTTTTTCTTTTATAATTTGCATTATGATATTTCTAATAAATAATAATGAAAACATATTATTTATATTAATAATTAATTAAATATAAAATATGTCCATAACGTGTCGTGTTCTATTTTTTTCAATTATGTCGTGTCCGTGTCCTCATATCCGTGCCCGTGCATCATAGGATATCAGAATATTAAGGACAATTACTTAGAATTGTCAGAGAAAAAAGTCTACAAGCTAGGTACGGATAAAGTTACAACCGAGTAATTAAATCTCCAAATACATGAAAACTATAAAATGACTCATTTAGATCCCCTGGTTTGAAGTCCAGTGAAAATAATGAAGTGGTGATAAAAATGTTTTCTGATTCTTGCTTCTCCTAATCAATAGAAGCTTAAATCTCCTATCCATTGGAGAGTCAATATTGTGCGTAAATATAATCTAATTCTTTTATTTTTTTTAGTTTTAACACTTTCTTAGATCCTTGAATTGTAACTTTGATGTAAAGAATATTTAATTTTAAGACGGTAATAGTATTTTTCAGTATGCTTTATCAATTCATTTAGGCATCAATTGTTATTATTACTAAAAAATTATTAATTTTATAAAATATAAAATAGTAAATTATAATTATAAACTTACTAATTGACATCGTAAACACTATTCTTTCTAAATTCCTTAGTTTACTGTAAGCCGCAACCCCTCGTTTTCTCCACGTTTGCCCCCCTACTCATAATCTTGAAACTCTCAACTCCCAAGGTTTTAATGAGAAAGATATTAGGAAATTTTGTAGGAGCTTTGCTTGGGTTAGAAATTTACATAACCAATGACGTGTAGGAGGAATTTATGAAAGAAGTGATGACACAGAGTAAGAGCCCTTAAATCCCATAAATTAAAATTTTCCTGGGAGTTGCAGCATTAATGTAAGATTTACTTGCCCAATTTATTTGGCATAATTTAACCTTAATATTCACTAAATTTTAATTAAATCTGGAAAGGTGTAAGAAATCAACATCACAAGTGCAACTTATTTATATCATATGATAGTAAGAAATCTTGCTCTTAAATTTAATTGGTAGCAAGTAATTATATATTAATTCCAAATTTATTGAATTTCTTGATTGTCTATATTTAAAATTAATTTTTAAATGAGAACTTAAGTATTAACTTGAATATTTAGCTTGTTTCTTAGGTTTTTTAAGCCAAAAGAGAACAAATTATATGTGAAAGTTTGGATTTAGGTTAAATAGATTATGAATAAGTTGTAATCTGACCAACTCAAATCGAATCAATGATGTACTAAGTTCTGCTTTGTTCAATTGCAACCCTATATTAATTATTAAGTAAACAGCATCAGAACTGATTGGAAGGTTTCTTGGCTCATGAAAATTAGTCCTGCGGCTATTTAGAGAATTTATTATATGTTTTTGCAAGAATGGTTGCTGCCTTCCCATTTTCATTCTTGCATCCAAATAACTTACGAACCTGCAAAGAAATTAGAAATAGATCAAACTGCAAACTGCAAACTGCTGCAGTACATTTATGTCCAAACCTGCAAAGCAGCAGCTCTTCTTTTTGTTTCTTGCGTGAAGCCCATTACCTGCAACGAGTTGGTCAAGTCATTGCCACTGAACTCTTCCTAGCAGCAGGTATCCAGTGTATCCAACCCTAGTGAGACTCTAGAGCTCTGACAATTGATTGTGGTGAAGTCCTGGACTGCTCTCAGACCATCTTTGCCTTCCCACCTACAAAACCAAAGAAAATCCTCTTGAAAATTGGGATAACTTGAAACAAAACAAAAATTGATAGAACATCAAGAGAATGTGGCATTAAATATAGTTCAAATCCTATCATAAAACCTTTCGTTAAAATTTTAGGAATACTCTGATTAAACAAAATATAAAGAGTCCCTACCCAAAGGAGAATGACAGAAATAAGCCTATTAAATTACTCATCCATAAAACTATATCACATACTTTCCCCATCCATAAAACTATATCACGATCATAATTTTTACCTTCATGGGGTATTGATCAGGTTGTCTTTATCGGTTTAAATTTGTAGGGGTGTTAGGAAGTTGTAACCTTTGAAGAACGTGATGTGTGAAAATTCAGAAGAATTGCTTATGGCAGAAGTTTCAACTGATGACTTTTCTCATAGTTTGAATGTCTTACGAACTTTTATTAGAAGGAAAATATGGTGCCTTTGGGTTTATTATTTGTTAAAGTTTTAGTCATATAACAAATTTTCCTGTCATATTTTTGCTTTAAACTTCTCGCTCGAAGATAGAATAAATAATTGCGATCTTATGCTATTTGTTTTTCGTCATTTATTTCACTTATTGTGCTCATCAAGATTGAGGAAATTTTATATTAGTTTAATTGCATATGGATTGCTGCCTCAATTAGGATCTATACTTTTGTTAGATCTCCTCAGTTTCTATCAGTGCAGCAACTAGAAAACCCTCTAATGTTTTATGTACAATAATACTAGTGAGGCAACATCACACCTAACTTAACTGTTTTGTCCAAACAATTTGAATTTGGCATAAGCCTCACACAAAGACTTACAGTAAAATTACTACTGACTCAGTTGAGTAATACTGCCTTTGACCTTAAAGCTCCAAAAAGTTGAGAAAGAAACACTCACACACACACAAGAAAATTAATACCAGAGTTTTTATTATATTTTAGAGAGTAGCCCTTAAGCATCACTAGCTTCGGTGGCAGAACTTGTTCATATCCACTACTAATTTGGTTGATGGTTTCCAGATATGGAGAGTATTTGATTGTGAAAAGTTTTTTTCCAGGTGTTATGATGACTGCGATGCTTATTGGTTTGAAAATTAAGATTCTTTCATTATAATGACTTCATTAGTTAAGCTCACTATTTTCTCTTAGCTTGAAAGTCAAGGGAAGAATGCAAAGAAGGAGAAGCAAGTGTAAGTTGGCTGATGGTTTGTTCCAATGGTTCTCAACCTATAATAACCTTCTGGCGTCATCTTTTCATTTCTCAAAGCCTACAAAGCTATCCTTTCTGGTGATCTCCTTTTTTGCTACATCTGTTGTTATGATTCGCATTGTCAAGTCACATTTGTTTTTTTGATTTTATCTATTAAGGTGTTACTTGAAATACATGATTCAGCATGCATGCATCTGACTTAAATTCCCTGATGCTTTCCACTTCTCATACTTCTGAACGTTATCCTCCTTTCTGACCTCTGAACTTTATCTCTTTGACGTACAACCACTTGCTTGCAAGAATCATGAATTCTTATTTTGACAGCAGTTCCTATTTGCGAAGGTTGGTGCTAGTTTATGGGTGTACAGCTCACCGGTTGTTGCTGTGAAGTTTCAACCACGTTACAGCCTGGCTTTCCATTATGGTGGAAGAGTGATTAAAGCTTCTTCTAGCATGCATGCAAGATTGTTTTCTTTTTTTGCATCCTCTCATTTTTTAAATTGGAGTCAGAAGAACCAAAGCATGAAATAACTTTTGTTTTTCTGTGTACTCATGTATTTCATGATATTTTTCTCTTGTGCAGAATTCCTCATACTTCTATGCATACTGAGTCTCTTTTTTTTCTATATTATTCTTTGCAAGTAATTTAGTTGCGTAGATATAGCTAATCATGATTCATTTAATCGGATTGAATGTTCTTCTCTTCAGATATTATTACACTATCATCTGAAGGTAGTGTTTTGAGGGCCTGGAACCTTCCAGATGGGCAGCTAATTTGGGAATCTGTCCTACAATTCTCCGCACCTTCCAGTTCTTTGTTGCATGTACCGGTAGACAAATCATTTTTTAAATGCTACTCTCTTTTGTTTTTGTTCCTTTTGACGCTTCAAGCCTCATAAGGACCTTCTTAGTAGTTTTATTTATTGTAAATCTTGCAGACGAAATTTGGCACTGAGAGAGAGAGCCTAATTTTTGTTTTTGGAGGTGGATGGCTTCATGCGGTATCAAGTATTGATGGCGTGAAAGTTTGGAAGAAAGAATTATATAGAGAAAGGTAATTATTGAACCCACCATCTTGTTTTTATTTTCTCATAAAGCTACATGTTACTTCATTCATTTAAATTTCCTTTTTTTTTCTGTATTCCTTACAGATTGGAAATACAACAAGTTTTTCAGCAAGATGACAGTGAAACCTTATATGCTGTAGGATTCCTTGATTCTTTACAGTTCGTTGCATACCACATAAATACTAAAAATGGGGAGGTTTTAAAGGAAAGCAAGAAATCCCTCCCTAGTGGTTTTTATGGGAGTATGCTACTGGTTTCTCGGGACATTTTGGTTGCATTAGATGCCAGCAGGTCAATCGTAGTCTCAATAAAATTTTCCAGCGGTTCTGTTAGTTTCCATCAGACATATATTTCAGATATTGCTCCAGAATTTTCTGGAATAGCTGAAATTGTGCCTACAAAACTTGCTGGCCTTTTTGCCTTGAGAACTGATGCAGGCACTTTGTTATTTAGAGTCAATGGCATAGGAAATCTTGTGGTAGAAAATAAATTCAGCCATCCGACTATTTTTAGTGATTCTCTGTCTATCACAGAAGAACATCAAGTGTTTTCAGTTGTGCAACATTCGGAAACAAAAGTTCACATTGCAGTGAAGTTTATTAACGACTTAATGAGTGACGTACTTGAAGAAAGTATTGAACTGGATCCACAGAAAGGAAGCGTGCAGAAAATTTTCATTAATAATTATGTAAAAACAGACAGGTCCAATGGATTCAGGGTCCTTTTAGTGATGGAAGATCACTCCTTGCTTCTGGTTCAACAAGGCAAGATTGTTTGGAGTAGGGAGGATGGGCTGGCTTCAGTTGTAGATTCAACAACATTGGAACTGCCTGTTGAGAAGATTGGCGTCTCAGTTGCAAAGGTGGAGCACAGCCTCTTTGAATGGCTTAAGGTAGGCTATCGCTTTCTGGATTCTTCTGTTAACTGAATTTTGTTGAGCTCTATTCTTCAGTCGAAAGCTGTATGACAGCTCCTTTTAACTTTTGATATTTCATTCATCTTATCATTCTATTGCCCATAGAGCTTTTAACTGATCTGGCTGGGCGGAATGTTGTAATTTTCAGCTGGCTTTTTGATTTTTTTTGGTACTTTTGGCTAATTTCCTTGGTGCAATTCCATGAAGTTGGATATTCAACCGTGTTTTTTTCAAAGCCCGTCTCCTAAGTTCGATTTTTTATTTTTTATTTTTGTTGCGTAATTACTTATATGCCTGGGTAATAACAACCTAACTGTAATAACTAAAATTTTAATAAAAGAGAAAAGAATAATAATATTAATGAATAATATATATATAAAGAAAAAGACATCGACGATTAGAAGAGTCGCGCCATTACAACATCATTAACGCACATTCTGCAATCCCCCTCGTTCAAAACAAATGAGTGAGCAAGAAATAGAGCTAGAGAAAAAAAATCAAAGAAGAGGCTGTGCCCTGGCCGAGGAATAGGAATCGAAGCCACTAGAAAAGGAAGCAATGACAGTGAACGGAGAAGAAGAATAAAGGAGTCGTATGTCTCTTACTTGTGTCTACCCTAAGCCTTAGCCGAAGAAGGCATCGACTCTGTCCTTGTGTGTAGAGGAAGGAGCCGACGACTTGTGTAAGTGGGTGTTGTTTTTGTCAAATTGAGCGGAGGAGAGGTGACCTACGACTTTGTAGAGAAGTGGAGGCGAGCTCGTTGGGTCGAGGCGAGATGCGGAGAAGAGAATCGAAGCTCACGTGCTTTGTTGGGGTGAGACGGGGCTGAAGAAGAGGAGCGTCGTCGTGCTCGCGTATGGTGGAAGAAGTCAATGGGGAAGAAGTTGAGGGAGGAGCGAGCCCGTGCATGCAATTAGGGCTTTCAAACCGTACGAGGGAGAAGAAGAGGAGGCTCCCTATGCAGCTACTGAGCTCGTCTGAGTAGGGAAGACTAATTAAGCCAAATTAGCTTAGTTTCATAAGTTATGTTATTTAATTATAATTTTGTAAATATATATATGTGTGTATATTATTTAAAGTTTAAGCTAAATTATATGCAATATCAGGATTGAAACTAATAAATTAAGGAAAATTTAGGTAATAAAGTGACGCGAAATTCATGTGAGAGAAGGGGGAGATTTACAATCAATCAAAAGATTTCAAGGTATGCTGTAGTTTTATTTTAGTTTTTAATGAATTTGTGGGAGTGTGTGTGTTTAATGCAATGTCATATTGAATTGAGACTATAATGTCGAAATTTCTATTTTGAAGGAGTTTGTGAAACAAGTAAGGGAGGAGTCGATCTTAAAGCCTATAAACTAAATGGTAAACCTAATGTTTTTAGTGAAATTAATGATGCAATTAGATAAACGGATTATGTTATTAAATTTTATTACAATTAGGAAGTGAGAAAGAAGGCCGTCTAATTCTTTGGATTTGAGGAAGAAGAGAGATAATTTTAAAAGATAAGATATGTTTTAAATTTAAAGTTTAATATTTATGTTTAACTGCAATTTAGGTTGAATCTTTTAAGCCTAGAAGGTCACAAGTCAGTGTGGCAAGCAAGCTAAGCAAGGTGAGTGATTATTTTTTTATATGTATTAAATTTAAAGTTTATTAAATAAGTATTTTATTTAATGCTTTAGATAATTATTTTAAAATTGTATGCATGTTGTAGCTTAAGAATTAAAGGAAATGAACGGAAAATGGAAAATGAATGTTTAACATCTTTAAAAAAGAGGTAATTTAAAGGAATTGAAATGATAAATAAATGTTTAAGTCATATAAGATTACTCTCATATGGTACTAGCACAGAGGATTCAATATTCCCGCGCACGCTAAAGAAAATGGTAAATGTGTAGCTTTAGGTACAATTTAAGGGTACCTTCGGGTAATTTTGAGGGTGCCTTCAGACACATTTTTGAGGGTGTCTTTGGGCATATTTTATGGATACCTTCGGATGTGATGGTAATCATGTGATGACTATTAAAGAGGTTAAAATCGGTAAATACTTAAGGTGGAACTGTAAATGATAAATTTTAAAGTTTTGATGAAATTAACTGTACTTTCTGTTGGTCATTCATGCATAACATAATGAAATATATAAATTTAATACATATTAGATTATAATTACTCACTATGTTTAACTTACAGTTGAAGTTAAATATTTTTTTCGGTAGAAGGAAAGTTTTAAATTGGTATGTCTGATAGGAGAGACTTGGTCTATAAGAAAATTTTTGCTACTAGGTATTTTTACGCGAATAATGCTTTTTGCAGTTTTTTTCAGATGTTGATTTATTGTTCAATACTGAATTGAGATGTTTTTTTGGATGTTATTGTTTCTGGATGTTTTAGATTTTATTGCATTTTGTGAGTTAGGGTCTCTTTTATATGTATTAGAAGTTTTCAAAATGTGGATGATTAGATGTTAATACTATCCGATCGTTATTCCCATCTTAGTTAATTCTAAGCTCCGGACTGGGTTGTGACAAATGTGATATCAGATCAATTAGGTCTAATCATGATCTAAAAGAGCCATTAGGATGATTACTTTAATTTTTAAGTAATGTTGATAAAGAATTCAGCTGTATCTAATTATAATCTCTTTTATGTTTTTTCAAAATATGTAAAATCGGGGGGACGAAATTAAAGATGATACTGTAAAAGCTGTTGCACCTCCACAGATTACTGTAAATGCAGATGCAGCTGAGATGATGACTGCAGTAACGCAGTTGATTAAGAATTCTCAGACTTATATTAGTTCCAATGGAGGAGGTCAGATGGATAAGTAGTTGAAATTTTTTCGGAATATGAGACTACCTCTCTTTTCTGGTGAAGGAGGTTTGGTAGATGCTGAAAATTGGTTGTTGAAAGTGGAGAAGATTCTAGATGGATTGTCTTACCCTTCATAAAGGATGGTTGCATTAGCCACATTTGCATTAGAGAGAGAGCAGAGAGATGGTGGCGTGGACAGTTCTAGGAGAAATTTGGTGGTAGTGCTGGTTACACGATTTAGTGTCGTAAGTTCGTGAGCACCTTTAGAGATTGGTTTATGTCGTTGTCTGCCAGAGGCAAATACAAGATAAGTTTATCAGATTGATACAGGGTGATCGCTCAATTATGCAGTATAAAACTGAATTCACTGTGCTCTCAAGGTATGCGCCTCAGGTGATTCCTAATGCAAAGGAGAAGTGCCATCGGTTTTTAACTGAGCTCACAGATGTAATTAGGCAACCACTGATTCTTCTTGGAATCAATGATTACTCTGTTCTGGTGGAGAGAGCTTGAAGGATTGAGCTAGATCTAGAGGCTACCCAGAAGAGGAGAGACATTCAAACGAGAAGAAATTTAGAGGGATCTAGGTTTCCTTAGGGCTCTCAAAGGTAGTTTTTTAGTCAGTTGGTACAAGTGCTAAGAAGGCTAGATCTAACAGCTTTGACACTTAGTTTGAAACAAAAAAATGTGACAAGTGTGGAAGGTCTTATAGGGTGAGCGTCTTTCTGGATCAAATACTTGCTTTTGGTGCCAACAATCATGACATATGACGAAGAATTGCCCCAAATTGGGTCAGATGACTCCAACAGACTCAAGGAGCAGTGCTATACCACCTCAGAGAAGCTATGGTAGACCGAGGGCGGCTAAATCTTCCGGGTCAGTGCCAAATGCTGGTCAGACTCCGCAGAATGTTCAGCCCAAAGTATATGCATTATTACAGAAGAAAACTAAGGACTCCCTTGTTATCATCACATGTATGATTTCCTTTTAACAATTTTAACCAGTACACTTTAAGCATCATAGGATTCATGTCTTGTTATACATAAAACAAGGGTTTAAATATATTAAAAAACCAACTTTAAATGTTTATGCATTGATTTTAAATGATAGGTATTATATATCTTCAGAGTAGACTGATAAGAGTACTATATGATTCAGAAGCATCACATTCTTTAATAGCTGATGAATTGACTTTTGTGTTGCAATTGAATATTATTTCAATGTCTGTGATACTATTGGTGAGAATGCCAGATGGTGCTTTTCTGGAAGTTGGTCAATCATGCAAGGTAGAGCTTATGATTGGTTGAAAGGATTTTAATACCTAACTTATTGTGTTGCCTTTGGTTGAATTCAATGTGATTTTAGTTATTTATTGGATGTCTGAAAACTTTGTCACTATTGATTGCAATAAGAAGACCATCAAAATAAATGTACCTAGGGAGATAGAAGTTAAATTTTCTGGTGATGAAGGACTTACATCTATGATACTTACCTGCATGGAATCTTGCAAATTGTTGAATCATGTAAGTAGGGGTTTTCTTGCTCAGCTAGTAGATACTTCTAAGGATGTGAAATCTTTGGGTGATATTCTATTGGTGATAGAATATCCTGAGGCGTTTCTTGATGATTTAAAGGGCTACTACCAGTGTGAGAGATTGATTTTACTATTGAGTTCTTATCAAGTTCTGAGCCTATATCCAAGGCGCCCTACATAATGATAGTTAAGGAGATATAAGAGCTGAAAACCAACTACAAGAGTTACTAAATAAAGGATTCATCAGGCCTAACTCCTTACCTTGGGGAGCTTCAGTGCTATTAGTGAAAAAGAAGGATGAAAGTTTCAGGATGTGTATTGAGTGCAGGGAGTTGTGTAAACTCACATATAAAAATAAATATCCACTGCAGAGGGTTGATGACTTGTTTGATCAGTTGGAAGGGGTTTTCGTATTTTTAAAGATTGATTTGAGGTCAGACTATCACTAATTGAAGATTAGAGAAGAAGACACAGCGAAAACTGCTTTCAGGACCATATATGGACAATATGAATCCGTGGTGATGCCGTTTCAACTGACAAATAGACTATCACTAATTGAAGATTAGAGAAGAAGACACAACGAAGACTGCTTTCAGGACCATATATGGACAGTATGAATCCGTGGTGA